TGACCCCCAGCTTCGACATCCCAACTCGTTTTCGGATTACCCCCCCACGTCCCGACTTTCGAATCCGTACGTCAAGCCGTTTAGATTTGTGCCCAACTGTTGACGGACGCACGGACGGACAGACGGCCGCACGCTCATGCAATTCTACAAGCTGCATCTGACTATGTCAGATGAGCTAAAAACCTGGTTTATCAACTTTTTGAACAAAATGCTTTCCATATACATGGTGTGCCATATTCAACATTCTAGATTAGTTTATGGCCTGAGGGTCTTTGCTTTAATATGAGGAAATGAAATGGATAAAGGTAATGGAAAGCTATATCAACTCTGGCATCAACAGGGTAGTGTAACAAGATAACAATGTAGAGCACGCACAAAACAATGTGAATGGGTGAGCGAATTGTGAGTAGACTCGGAGAGCAAGAGAGCAATGAGCCAGTACAACCATTCTGGAGCAATTCATTTTAAATATACGCACACGTAATTCGTATTCATTCAAATAGTTTTTCATCAAGCTACCAATAGCCTCCATTGATTGTGTGACTAACGTGTACAATGTAAGGGAATTGAGCAAAACTTGCAAAATTTATTTTCCAGTTTAGGCTTGAGAGTATACCGACCTGCTACAACAGTAATGAATTATCTTGTAAACTTCACGAAAACGTTTTTCCACAGTTCTTAGTAAATGATTATGACACTAATGCGTGAAATATTTTACACAAAATACTGGTAAGTCAAGATAATAGGTGAAGGCTATAAAGATGTGTTGGGGGACATACATATATATGTACAAACACACACGTCTTACGATACATGTCTCACTGAAACACAGTTCATGAACATGATGGCTCATAAGCCAGTACATTGTACTGGATTTCCTGTGTGTCTATACTTGGTGTTGGATATCCGGTGTTTTGTGACACAGCTAGGCTGGATTGTTGCCCTGGACCCATAACAAGTTAAATCAATGATTTACCCAAAAAAATTTACAAGTGTGGCAAACCCTTAAATCCTTCAATTACAGAAATAATATGGCTATTTTATGCACACTGTTGACAATTAGCAGAATGACTCACAGTCACACCTTGTGACATTTATTAGTATAGGAAGCTATTCTAAGAATTCATGGTACGTTGTCTATTTTTACTGCTTGTTAGCTTACAAACCAGACTTCTGAATGTTATTTTACATCAACCTAACTAAAAATTAGGTCCTGAATTAATCTGGCAATAAGCCTATAAACAACACTATGATCATCATCACACGATTACATTAGTAGGGGTAGGACAGATTTGGTATGATACAGATCCCCCACTAACGAGGTGTGCATGTGCACGAAAATGTGCCGCACAGAAACCTTTGTTACACCTGCGATAGCAATTACCCTTTGAAAACGTCAACAACATCAAGAAATGTGGATGATTTTCAAATTAGGCTTTCATATGAGTAACCATATATATGTCATATGGGCTTTTGAAATTACAATGAACTTTATCAAAAATATATCTAAACTATAGTACTATAGATATGTTCATGCTTATATTATGCTATTAAAACTCACATAATCTTCTATGATCTCCTTCAAAGCTGACACTGATAGAATGAATAGCAGCGGCACAGCGGTTGTATACCTACCAGTGGGTGATACACCTGGTATTTGCTAAAAAGATGTTTTCGATAAAACAGTTGTATAATATAACGCTATTAGGTAATATGCATTGTATAGGTTTCACGAAACACAATTGAACAGGTATGTGTATCTGAAAACATATGTGCATGTGAGCGATCATGTGTGTGCACGTGTCTGTATCTCCATCTGTCTGCAGGGTTCTCCCTACGTTGCGCAAACCTCCCCCCTGTTTGAATCGTTGCGCCCCGTTTAAATTACCTCCGCCCCGTTTAAATTCCACCACAATAAAAGTTTGCCAGCGCGGGAATCGGCCGTCAAGAATTCCCGTTCGACCAGGACATCCGACGCGTGTATTTTTACCGTACCACGCATGCACTGCAGACAGTACACAAGTTAACCTGACAAACCTACACAACAAGTTAACCTGTCACTAACTGTACACCA